CATACTGACTGCGTTAGTTACAGATTAAAACTATTTTTCTATTTATCTATAAATATAAATATAAATTGTGGAAGTTTGTAATTTGATAAGACAAATGTCATTTTAAACGAACTTAGTAATAGTATTAGTTAGTGTAATGATGGAGTTTTTCTATTCGAACCCATCATCCAACTTTGCCCTGAGACATCCATCTCATCCAACTTTGGCCTCCTCACCTTCTCTTTATATATAGGCATCGCTTACCTTACCACTGTCGTATCATTAATCTATGGTGGCGGCTTCTGTTGGTTTCGGTGAATTGGAAACCGCATAGCAAATGGCAAATGGTTCAAGATGTACCATACATATGATATCAAATTATGATCTATGTAAAACAACTTCAAGAAAATGACATAATCATTCAGAGAATCAAAGACGATGGGTTTCACCCTGATGTGGCCACTTATGGCAGCCTTGCCAATGGAATTGCATTGGCTGGAAAACCAGAAGAGGCACTCTTGCTTTGGATTTGGAATGAAGTGAAGGAGAGATGTAGGGTGAAAAAGGGAGGGGAATCTTCCTATCCGCCAATGCCGAAACCCGATGAAGGTTAGGAAATATAAATGTGACAACAAATATTTAGTATCATCATGCAATGAAAGTTAGGAAATCGGCCCTTATCAATACAAAATGCGCGTAATACACTTGATTAAAAACAATCGAGAAGTTATGCAACCTAGGAAAGACGAAATTTCTTGCATAAGCAATATACATGTAATATTGAACTAATGTCATTGCAAACATATAATATCAAAAGAGATTAGAAAATACTCGATTTAAACTCGAAAAAGGGAAAAATAAATCAGCCCTGCAAGCTTTCTAGGCTGTTTCTCAGCAGCCAATCAGCCCTGCACCAACAACAAAAAGGCATTTTCCCCCTTTCGTCCATAAAAAAACCCTTTGCCTTCTTCGGTTGTTTTTCTCTTTCCAGGAAATGTTCCTGCACCAATGTCATCCAACTTTGGCCTCACCTTCCCTTTATATATATATATATGGGCATCACTTGCCCTTATTGATATCATAATAAGGTTTTGAAGGTCTTGACTTGTCCTAATGCTTCAATGGCCATTGTTTGTGAAGGTTTCACATAGCGAAGGCTAGATGTGTCGTCTCTGTTTCGGATCAATTAATTTCAGTGTCAATCAACGGGCGATTTATGTAGCCATAAACTTATACATTGAGGAATGGCAAAACTAAGCCAATGGGAGGGGATCTAGCCAATTCGAAAGTAAGGGGAGAAAATTTTGTAATTAAACTGGAAATTATTTTGGAATTTTGATGCCAGTGCATCTTCTTCTTATGACAGACATTTGTGTAACATTATTGTGATCAGCTACAGTCCAGGACCAAGGAGCAGACAGAGAAATATTATTACTATTCGCGGGCCACATCGGCATTCATTAAATCTACTAATACAAGAAATTTTGAAGAAGCTCAATTATATTTATTCTAATTCTACCGTTATTACATTTCTTAAAAAAAATTCAAGTGATAGGGTAATAAAACAATTAGATGATATAGAAGAAGCTTTTTACAACTGAATTCTTGGCGCAATCCAAATCGGAGGTTGCCTACTCTTCTTCACCATAGTCATAACATCTTTGGAAGGTTGCGAAATTTTTTTACTTGCGACATCATACACACCAAAATCACAAGGCCCACGAGAATCGAATTCAGATCCTAAGCGTATATTATCATGGGTGAAATATATGCAATTCGACTGACATTCTGAAAAGTTTGAAGTTGATACAGATATTGAAGAGTTGTCACCCAGAAATATAGCAACATCACCTAAGCTTTTTTTGACAATCCACTTGCACTCCTTATAATCGAATTTGAAAATTTTAAATTTCCTTGTCACCCGTTCTTCTTCAAGCTCAATTTTCCTTTCAACCATCAACAACTCTTCATCATTTGAATCCACGAGATATGTCTTCATCCAATCACCTGACCTAAAACATTGTGCAACAAATTTTACATTCGATAGGGAACGAGTAGTGATATCAAAAGATACAAGACTTCGGTCGCTAGCAGCATAAACCTTATGTTGATGGAGAGCAACTTCTTCAATTATGCTATATCTTTGATCAACGTAGGTCCACGTCGTGTCTTTATTAAGTCTAATAAATGCCATTTGACATTGTTGCTCGTATATGACCAAAATAATGCAGTTGTTCGCATCTAATATTGGATCCGCTGAAAGCATTGCTTTGAAGATAAAATAGTTAGAATATGGAGCCCATGCCAACATCTCATCCCTAATATTTGGAGATGGAGGGGTTAGCGGAGGAAGGCGAATGATTGAATTTTTTTTCATTCTCCTCCCTTTGACCCTAACAAATGGATTTATTAGGGTAACTATACGACTTTGATCCACGGCTATTAACCATCCTTTTGAAGATCCACAAAATCTCTTATTCGACAAATTCAGTTGCAAATCAAGGACTTTATCATCCATGATGTTGTATAATCTCCATATACCATTTTTACCTGTAGATATCAAGAGCATTGGAGGATGACAAGTTGACAAATTACCACTTCTTTGATAATCCTTTGCTGCACTATGCCATGACTTACAAACAAGACTGAATCGCAAGTAGTCTGATGATGACACTAATTTCTCTAAAACTAAATCCAAAATTTGGTTGCACAATTCTGCCCAATCTAAAAAACAAAAACAAAAACAATTAGAGAGATGATAATGAAGGAGATGACCACCATAGTTTTATGAAATATATACCTAAATATTCCATTTTTACCTGTAGATATCAAGAGCATTGGAGGATGACAAGTTGACAAATTACCACTTCTTTGATAATCCTTTGCTGCACTATGCCATGACTTACAAACAAGACTGAATCGCAAGTAGTCTGATGATGACACTAATTTCTCTAAAACTAAATCCAAAATTTGGTTGCACAATTCTGCCCAATCTATAAAAAAAAACAAAAACAATTAGAGAGATGATAATGAAGGAGATGACCACCATAGTTTTATGAAATATATACCTAAACAATAAACATAGAAAATAAAAAAAGGCACGTGGGTCCCTAGTTGCAATAGAAGAAGAACTAAAGCTAAGTAGATAATAATTTCTTTGAGATAACATACCTGAACCCATAATTACCAATCAGCGAGAAATATACAGAGAGATGCTAAAAAGAAAATAAAAAGGACTTGATTCGAGGAAGAGTGAAGGTTTTTGCCGTTAATCACCAAAGTAATTATTGCACATAAAAAAGAGATCTCACACACACTTATATATATATGCACAATTTATGCGTGTAATGCTTGTCTTGCCTTTAAAGAATAGGATTGGTTACACAGATTTCCTAAAGGATTACCAAAAAAATAAGGAAACCTAAAATTAATAGGATACAACTTGCTAGAGATTGTGTTTGATTGGGTTCTTGTTGGGCTTTCTTTATTTTTTTATTTTATTTTATTTTATCCTTTCGATGAGGTGAGCGCTTTCTTAGTTAGTTGTTGGGAAAGGTTTCACGCCTAAGGGAAAAACATTCATTGTAACAAAATGAAACAAAATCAAACTTAGCCTGTTTTCGTATTGTTTTGATTTATAGATTAAGTTTTGGTTATGTTTGTATGTCTCTAATATTTTGCAATGCATACGATTTTGATTCAGTTACACTTTATATGGTCCCTTTCTTTAGCATGGCTTTGCAATGAATCTAATCATCACGCACATTACTTTAGTTGTCCGTCTCAAAGCCTTACATGGTGAATATTTAGCATTGCTCTGTTAGCCTTACATAGTGAATACACTTGATTACAATGTGCGTAATACACTTGATTAAAAACAATCGAGAAGTTAGGCAACCTAGGAAAGACGAAATTTGTTGCATAAGCAATATACATCTTCCATAAAACTCTGTTTACAAGTACTTTCCTAGCATACTGAACTAATGTCATTGCAAACATGGAATATCAAAAGAGATTAGAAAATACTCAATTTAAACTTGAAAAAGAAAAAAAAAAATCAGCCCTGCAAGCTTTCTAGGTTGTTTCTCAGCAGCCAATCAGCCCTGCACCAACAACGAAAAGGCATTTTCCCCCTTTCGTCCAAAAAACACTTTGCCTTCTTCGGTTGTTTTTCTCTTTCCAGGAAATGTTCCTGCACCTATGTCATCCAACTTTGGCCTCACCTTCCCTTTATATATATGGGCATCACTTGCCCTTATTGATATCATAATAGTCAAAAACTTAAAACCACAAATAAATAACAATGAAAACCCTCAAATAAATATGTAATTAAAGTGACTTTTGGCCAAGAAATATTATGATCAAGGTGTGAGTCTGAAACAGTCTTGGCCAAATTCCTTGTAGAATAACTTTTGTAAACATTGTTTAATGTGAAGCAGGGTTTGTGAGTTTGGATTGTGGAGGTGAAGGAGTTTTCACGGATGATCTGGGTCTTGAGTGGACTCCTGATCAACTTAATTACGGCAAAACGGGCTTTATATATCCGTTTCGAATGAGACGAGGAAGCAATACTCGACATTGAGGCACTTCCCTGCTGGTTGAAGAAAAAATTGTTACACAGTGAATGTCACAAGTAGGACTAGGTAGCTTCTTGTATGTAGCCATAAACTTATACATTGAGGAATGGCAAAACTAAGCCAATTCGAAAGTATGGGGAAATTTTTTTGTAATTAAAGTGGAAATTATTTTGGAATTTTGATGCCAGTGCATCTTCTTCTTATGATAGATATTTGTGTAACATTATTGTGATCAGCTACAGTCCAGGACCAAGGAGCAGTCAGAGAAATATTATTACTATTCGCGGGCCATACCAGCATTCATTAAATCTACTAATACAAGAAAATTTGAAGAAGCTCAATTATATTTATTCTAATTCTATCGCTTTTACATTTCTTTGAAAAAAAAAAAAAAATTCAAGTGATAGGGTAAAAAAAACAATTAGATGATATAGAAAAAGCATTTTACAACTGAATTCTTGGCACAATCCAAATCGGAGGTTGCCTGCTCTTCTTCACCAGAGTCATAACATCTTTAGAAGGTTGTGATATTTTTTTACTTGCGACATCATACACACCAATATCACAAGGCCCACGAGGTCCGAGTTCAGCTCCTACGCTTATATTATCATGGGTGAAGTATATGCAATTCGGCTGACATTCTGGAAACTTTGAAGCAGATACAGATATTGAAGAGTTGTCACCCAGAAATATAGCAACATCACCTAAGCTTTTTTTGACAATCCACTTGCACTCCTTATAATCGAATTTGAAAATTTTAAATTTCCTTGTCACCCGTTCTTCTTCAAGCTCAATTTTCCTTTCAACCATCAACAACTCTTCATCATTTGAATCCACGAGATATGTCTTCATCCAATCACCTGACCTAAAACATTGTGCAACAAATTTTACATTCGATAGGGAACGAGTAGTGATATCAAAAGATACAAAACTTCGGTCGCTAGCAGCATAAACCTTATGTTGATGGAGAACAACTTCTTCAATTATGCTATATCTTTGATCAACGTAGGTCCACGTTGTGTCTTTATTAAGTCTAATAAATGCCATTTGACATTGTTGCTCGTATATGACCAAAACAATGCAATTGTTCGCATCTAATATTGGATCCGCTGAAAGCATTGCTTTGAAGATAAAATAGTTAGAATATGGAGCCCATGCCAACATCTCATCCCTAATATTTGGAGATGGAGGGGTTAGCGGAGGAAGGCGAATGATTGAATTTTTTTTCATTCTCCTCCCTTTGACCCTAACAAATGGATTTATTAGGGTAACTATACGACTTTGATCCACGGCTATTAACCATCCTTTTGAAGATCCACAAAATCTCTTATTCGACAAATTCAGTTGCAAATCAAGGACTTTATCATCCATGATGTTGTATAATCTCCATATACCATTTTTACCTGTAGATATCAAGAGCATTGGAGGATGACAAGTTGACAAATTACCACTTCTTTGATAATCCTTTGCTGCACTATGCCATGACTTACAAACAAGACTGAATCGCAAGTAGTCTGATGATGACACTAATTTCTCTAAAACTAAATCCAAAATTTGGTTGCACAATTCTGCCCAATCTATAAAAAAAAACAAAAACAATTAGAGAGATGATAATGAAGGAGATGACCACCATAGTTTTATGAAATATATACCTAAACAATAAACATAGAAAATAAAAAAAGGCACGTGGGTCCCTAGTTGCAATAGAAGAAGAACTAAAGCTAAGTAGATAATAATTTCTTTGAGATAACATACCTGAACCCATAATTACCAATCAGCGAGAAATATACAGAGAGATGCTAAAAAGAAAATAAAAAGGACTTGATTCGAGGAAGAGTGAAGGTTTTTGCCGTTAATCACCAAAGTAATTATTGCACATAAAAAAGAGATCTCACACACACTTATATATATATGCACAATTTATGCGTGTAATGCTTGTCTTGCCTTTAAAGAATAGGATTGGTTACACAGATTTCCTAAAGGATTACCAAAAAAATAAGGAAACCTAAAATTAATAGGATACAACTTGCTAGAGATTGTGTTTGATTGGGTTCTTGTTGGGCTTTCTTTATTTTTTTATTTTATTTTATTTTATCCTTTCGATGAGGTGAGCGCTTTCTTAGTTAGTTGTTGGGAAAGGTTTCACGCCTAAGGGAAAAACATTCATTGTAACAAAATGAAACAAAATCAAACTTAGCCTGTTTTCGTATTGTTTTGATTTATAGATTAAGTTTTGGTTATGTTTGTATGTCTCTAATATTTTGCAATGCATACGATTTTGATTCAGTTACACTTTATATGGTCCCTTTCTTTAGCATGGCTTTGCAATGAATCTAATCATCACGCACATTACTTTAGTTGTCCGTCTCAAAGCCTTACATGGTGAATATTTAGCATTGCTCTGTTAGCCTTACATAGTGAATACACTTGATTACAATGTGCGTAATACACTTGATTAAAAACAATCGAGAAGTTAGGCAACCTAGGAAAGACGAAGCTATCTTTTTGTAAAGTTAATTTGGACAAAGCTCCACTTACAATTTGATAAAAGGCAAAGCTCCTCTGGCATAGACTGTGACTTGGAGTTTTTAATTGAAACAGCTTCAGGAAATTCATTGAGTCTTTCCTTTCTATTTGCCTGAAATAATCAGAACAAAGTACCCATGTTACGTTTACATAGGAATAAGACATAGATTGTTACAGAAGGCATAGAATACTGGATTGAATTAGGATGAATTTCTTTACCTCCCCTAATGTACATGTAATTGTTAATGACTCTCATAATCCCAGTCACAGTCACCACATCTCCCGGGATGCATGCATCAACAAGATCTTCAAGCAGTTCACATTCTACTGTGCGAGGCACCTGGATATCTTCATGATCCTCAGGCTTTAGTAGCTACTGTATCCTTAAGTAGTATCAACGGATTTCAACAAGGTCAATGAAGGTAAATGTAAAACTTGAATTTGATTGATATTCAAAGCGCCTACCTTATTTTCTGAAAATATCGTTTGTGCAGTAGATCGAATTGGGTTAAATTTCTGCTCTTGCACCCATCTGATCACATTTTGATGGGGGTGAAAATTTCCCATCCAGAAACATGCGTGTAATGCTTGTCTTGCACTTGCACACAGTGAAAATTCTAGCCGTCTAGCACCCACCCGCAGCGGTGCCAATCTACGGAGAACAGAATCAGCAAAAGCCCATCCTGCCAACAGGGAACAAGAGGATGCTATAAAATGCACTACACTATCATGGTAAAAGCTTCAAAATTAATCTAGAAATCAAGGGAAAAGCAAATGCTCTTTTCCTTTTTTATGGCCTTTATCATGTTTTACTCACCCAGTCCCACTGCTTGGAATTTATGATTTTGACTTTTTGAGAGATGTTCCCGTGGGTCAACTGAGTCAAAGCAAAGCAAAGGCCAGCAACATCTACAAAACGAATCAGAGCTTTCAACAATTCCTGAAAAAAGATTTAGGCATAAAAAAATTGTTGGTTACACTTGCACTAACAACCACATTCCATGAGAAAAAGAAAAGTGATGTTTTCAATTTGAAACTAGCCAAATCAATATATTAATTCAATTACAAACACGGGAGTAGCATGGACTTAGTGAAATGTGAAAATTTCTAAATGGAAATATAGATTTCAACTTAAATCAAAGACACAAGTACCTGATATGGATCGAAGCTTTCATTGTCTGATACCTAAAGAAAAGTGGCCAGGCAAACGAGCTGCAGAACATAGATTTAAGGGAAAAAAAAACCAATAGCAGCCATTGGTGGGACTGTTACGAAACTTTCCCCCACTGGCACAAGCTGAAAACTACTAGAATATGATTTTGAATTCGAGCAAATGGTTCAAGCAATAAGGGAAGGGAGGAGAGACCTCTGCAAGACTCTTAAGCGATTCGAATTCGAAAAATTCAAAATCTGAGTAAAATATGACCAACACCACATTTTCAAAATAGCCAAAATTAAGACAAACTTCCTAATAACAGTGTTATAATACCACGATCCATCTGCGTAAGCCAGAGGGCCAGACAAAGAAATTCAGCTCAAAATTCAAAGTTTCACAAACGCAGACTAAGTGAAATCATACGTTTTGTTTGGAATAGAGAAATTTCATAGCAGAAGGAGGTGATGAATTTTACCTGGGAAATGAGAGCTTGGCCTGCTGTCCTAGAGAAGAAGCTCATGAGCTGCTGTGTGAGAGAGAGGAGAGAGGAGAGAGAATAGAGAAATTAATGGTCATGTACTGTACTGTACTTACAGTACAGTAATCACTAGAGAGAAAGAAGAGAGACTCTGAGAAGAAAGAGAAGAGAGATTCTGAGACGAGAGAGAAGAGAGGGAAGGGACGGAGGTGCCGCCTCCTTTAGACCCTCACAACCCTCACTCTCACTCTGAGTCTCAGTCAGTCTTCAAACCAAAAAAAAAAAAAAACGTCTCAGTCAGTCAAACTAGGACAATAATATTATTTTAAAATACAAATGAAAAGTCCAATAAAAGAATGACACGTGTAAGAAGTAAGAAATCAGAAAATAATAACATTAGAAAGGAATCAAAAGCAAAAGGGTGGAGAGCGAGCGAGGCACAAGTCGAGCATTACACAGAGAGGCACACAGGTTCACATTTCAGACTATTTCCACCTCTCTCTCTTCAACTTGCAAAGAAGATGAGACCCATCAATCTCAATCCTTCAAGTGCTGGTATGTATTGTTTTTGTAAGAATTAGCAAGAAAAATAGCACTCATTTATGCTTGATTTTGTTTGTTTGTTTGATATATTTTCTTCATCTCTCTCTCTCTCTTTAACCTTAGTAGAATCAGCAAATTCAGACCTATTAATTGATCATGAGAAGAAGGCTAAGGCTCAGATTGAGGACAAAAAGAAGAAGAATTTGACTAGAGCACAAGTGAAGAAACAACTCAAGCTTACTAATGAGGTGATCAATTGCTTCATGTGTTCAAAGATTCGCCCCACTCTCCATGGAATGCAAGCCCACCAAAAGGCACACTACAACTTTTTCAAGGAGTGTGCTAAATGCAACATGAGGTTTCATAATAACTTGGACTACAAAGCTCATTTGAAGGTATAAAAATTGCATCTTTTAGGTTGATTGTTAATTATTAGTTGACATTAAATGATGATTATTTCTTCTAAATTTTTCAGGTTGAGTGCCCACCAAGCCCAAGTCAAAGCACCTCCTAGCCTAGAGCTGCTTGCTCCTTTTGTTGAATCCAATGGTGATCAATTAACAATTTAGTTATGCTTTGGCTTTGTTGGAATTCATATTTGATAGACATGCATGTGCTTTGTGGTGGCTTTTGATTTCTTAGATGTCTTTGAAATAGCCCTTTGTGGCTTGTGTGGTATTTGATATTTGACATGATCACTTATGGCTTGTGATTACCTTTTCCTACATATATTGCTTGGGGTTTCTTGTATGCATACTGCTACAGGGGTTTGCATATTTTCTTCCTAAGTCTGAGTTGGTAAAAGATTCTCATCTCACTATCTTTATTTTGTTTGGGTTTCTTTGAACCCCCTTGACACACACACACACACACACTAGATTCTTCCTAAAAACCAGTGAATTAATTTCGACCATCATCACTCACCACCACCCTTGAGTCTTAGATATCTTGCTAAACAATTGAGAGAGAGAACACGACCTTTTATTTTTAGATATCTTGCTAAGCAATTGAGAGAGAGAGAGAGAGAGAGAGAGAGAGAGAGAGAGAGAGAGAAGAAGATCCTTTCAAATTATAGGTTGGGGAGGGTACATAGCAAATTGCAAGAATTTTGCTACTAGTTTTTGCAAACATGTAGACCCCTATATACAATGTTGGGCAGGGTAAGTATAGGCACATGATAGGAATTTTGCTCCTAGTTTTTGCACTGCCTATATACAATGGTGGGCAGGGTATACAGGGTATAGAGCACCCACTGAACTAAGGTCATTGCAAACATCTAATATGAAAAGGAGGTTAGAAAATACTCCATTTTTCTAGGGGAAACATTGCTTGTAACTCCTTAAAGAAATTTGGTTTTCACATGTAATATAATGTTGCTTTTGTATCACAGTTCATTACTATTATTGTGTAGATAAATTTCCAAACTCCGTGTAGTGCCAATATGAATGATTTTCAAATTGACACCGTCGTGCATGACAGGTTTTATGCAATCATAATGGACATTAGCTAGTGTTCACAAACATAGTTTTTATTGAGACTTTTTGTGGCCAATTTAGTGTGAAAATCACTACTTTAGTAAATTGGGCACCAAAAACTGTCAATACAAATGTTTTTGAAGTAATGCTTAATTATGATTGACTAAGGCGTGTTACAGATATAAGAGAAGGGAAGAGGAAGGAATTCTTGTTGTAGGCTTAGAGTAGGGGCTACAAAACATGCGATGGGATTGGGTGGGGTGGAAACTTGGAGGCTCTTTACCATGGTGGGACGTGTGCAGTTGTACACGTGTATAAATAGGACTGGACCACCGACCAAAGAACAAAAGAATAAGAGTAGGGCAGGTCCATTTCATTTATGATTATGTATAGTTGATTTATATGGAATTGAATACACAAGAATAGTGTTACGTGAAAGCCAACAACATGCATGCATGCATGTGCATGACGACCCTTTGATAATTAGCTTAATTATCAATTACCTAAACAATATTCGTATAATTATCCGGTGGGGTCTTGTTCATTAGTTTTATTTTTGTTATCTTCTGAAATTTTGTCTTGCTACT